GCACCACCAGGCAGCAGTTTCGCCTGCCTGCATCTGCACAGGGCAGAGAGACGTGTCTGCTGGGAAGGATCTGTGGACGCACAGAGGCCGCCAAAGCAGGGGCAGCACAAGCCAGCTGGCATCCTAGCTGCTGTTTCACAGGCCATTTGCATGGAGCTGAGAGAGGCTGCTTAGAGGAGAATATAAGATATGGATGCAGTGATCTCTCCTCCAGCTTTTGTCAACCTAGCCAGAAACCTCACCTGGACCATAATTTCCAGCAGTCATCAACCTTACAGACCAGTTGTGCCTAATGGCAAAGCTCCTTGCATGTATCCTGCAAGAGGAGCTGACTTGACCACCAAGAATAAATCTGGGATTTTCTCACCAGGATCCTGGCCACCACTGAGCAAAGGGATGGAGGAATACATCTTTGTTCACTGGAAACATTCTTGCTTCATCTGTTAGGATCTGGGGGAGAGCTGGCAAAATGCAGCAGGAAGAGAGCACGTATTTGATATGGAAATACTGAGACCCATGATAAATATTCACTTGGCACCAGACTCACATACAGATCAATCTACTGGCTTTAAATGTGCTTGAAAATGAGTAGCTTTACATATCGGTACATTATAGCCTTGCTCCTGCTCCCAGCCTGGTTACTGGGAGTAGAAACACTGGATGATGCAGTGGAAGATGAGGTCTGTGTCTGCAGCATCCTCTTCCCCCTGTGAACAGCTGCAGATATCTGCCCTAAATCTGCCATGTTTGCAGGGAGGGTACCTAGGCCTTCCTAACCCTGCAGTGTTGGCTGAGTCCTCTCCTGGGTCAGAAATGTCCCTTCCACACTGGTTCCTACCAATGCTAATGCAGAGCAGGTCTGAGATGTGGTCCCACAGGAACCCTGAGGAGCAGAGCTGAGCCCAGTGTTGTTTCTCACTTGGAGTGAGCCCTTCCCTTGGCCCATGTTGAGTATGAGGGGGCTGAAATTCTGGGAATGAGCTACACTTCTCAAAGCCTGAGAAAAAACACAGCCTGCCTTTTGGCAGTTGCTTTGTCCCTGAACCTGGTTTCTTGTCCTTTGGGCACCGGCAGACTAAATCCTATCATGCAGGAAAGATGCTGCCACACATGAAAGTGGGGCAAGGGCACCGAGAAAAAAAAGCTATTCCAAAGAAAGAACAAAACTGCTGACAAAGACGGGGCCATGTTATACCAAAATCCCTTTGCTTTCAGCGTGGTCAAAGCAGCAAAGGGAGGCAGACTTGTTTTTCCAGTGCCTATATATAGTGCTGTGAGCTCATAGTTTCTGACTATGGAGAGTATTCAAACTATGTGAAACAGGAATTTCAACCCCACCTCAATGCCAGCAGAGAGTAGATTGAAGCTGGGGAGATGCTAGACTGGCCCAAATTTGATCTCACTGGCCTAAATAACTTGTTCAGTACTGGAGACCTTACTAAGTGCAAAGACAGTCCTGAGCAGCTTCGGTCAGGGCCCTTGTGGTTTGGGCATATTGGGATTTGCCAGAGCAGGGGGAGGCCACAGGACCTGGAGGCTGCAGCCCAAAAGTGGCTATATAAACCTTAGCCTCAGTGAAATCTGTTTGGAGAGTTTTCAACCTCAGCTTCTAAATACCCCAGGAAAGCCGGGATGACAAGTGGAATGGTTCAATCCCTCACCCTGAGCAGAGGTGCAGAAGGGGGTGATGCGCTCTGGGTCTCATTAGAGTGAAGGATGGGACTTCATGTCATGAGCGGTCCCTTCTGGGCTCAAGCCCCAAGCTGCAGATGTTCTCTGTGGAGTGACGGGAGGGCAGATGCATTTCGGCAGCTCCCCAGAGCACAGAGCAGCCCAGCTTCATGGCTACCCTCTCTTCTCCTTCCAATCTGCTGTGTGTTGTAACTGCTGGAACTGCTGCATCCACGAGGGACTGATACTCCTGCCCATACCTGGAGCCCTGCATGCTGCCAGGACATCCAGCCACTTGAAATCACTGGTGCTGCCTACTGAGGGACTCCAAGGTCCCATCTAATGGGGTTTTGGATGCCAGGCACGCATTAATCTCCTTGTAATATCCTCTGCTGCCTGCCGCATAGGCCCTGGAAAGCCCTGGGCACCTTTTTAAGGCTGGAAGATCATAGAGTCAGGAATGATTATGCAAAGCATCTCTCTGTTCCAAGGCGAGACCCTCCACCATGTCCAGGTTCTTCCTGGCACAGTCTGCTAACGGCTTTCTGTAATGGAGATTCCAGGTTCTCCTGGGCATTTGGGCACATTGACAGTGTAAATCTGGGTCATACCACTGCATTGCTACAGCCAGAGCTGGGGAAGTCATGCAGGCAGGGTGCCTTGGGGTCTGCTTCTGTGGCCTGCTCTGGTTGTGGCAAACAGCACCCAGATCCCCATTGAGCAGCTTGGCAAACCTCGGTGTGGACCAGTTCTGTGGCCTCTGGAATGGGCTGGGGATTGGCAGGAGATGCTGGAAAGAGTTGAAGTTGTTGCAGGAACAATCTACCCTGCAAAAAGCCTTTGGAGGGAAAGTCCAGGGAAAATCGCTCTCAACTTCTTGCCTAGGGGTCAGGTAAGGAATGGACAGTACATCAGGACATGGATAAGACCCATAGAAACCTTCTCTGCCCAGGTCTCCAGCCTGCACATGGCCAAGATGAGACTCATGAGCCACCTGCAGCTCACAAGAGGGACAAGTGTAGGATTTCTGGGCTGCATGGGGTCTATATAGGCTCATGCTGCTGCTTAGCACTGTGTTTCCAGAACAGCTGAAAATCCTCTGGGTAGATGCAAAGCAGCACTGACCTGAATTCCTGCTCTGCTATGATTATTTTGGGCCATGCGTGGGAGCATGGCTGCCGCTGAGACCTGGGTGACCAGCAGCTGATGTAGGAGGGGGGCAGGCTTGAAGCATAGGGCTGGCAGGAACATGTATAAGGGGGATGAGAAGGACAGAAAGCATAGGGATGAAGACCTGGTCAAGGTGAGGAGATGGGGAGTGGAGGTGTGTGGCTGGAGAGGTGGGCATGGACAGGAAGAAAGACATGTTTGGCAGGAGTTTGGCCTTGGCACACGAAGCACTGGCTATGCAGCCCATTGGGCTGGGAAGTTTGGGAAGCTCCATCACAACCACGGAGTGAGAAGTTCACCATCCAGGCTGGGACCTAGAGCTCATTCTGGTTTGTAGCAAAAGGGGAGTTTGGTCATAGCATCCCCTTTGGTGCCTGTCTCAGCGTGGCCTGACACCAGGGCCAGGCCCAACTATGATTTCCCATTACACAAGGGAAAGCAGGCAGGATCGCCCCTGCCGCAGGTGTTTCTCCAGTCTCTGCCCTCAGATGCCTGACGCTAGCTCCTCACCAACTCCCTGGCCAGTGAAGCAAATGTCAAGCCTTTAAAACCCAAACAAGTTCCTCCACATTCACTCTCCGGGAGCTGTCCCTGTCCTCACTTTGGCTTTTGCGCAACATGCCTGGGATGAAATACAGAGCAAACACCTGCTTGTTATATAGGCACTTCGGGCTTCTCCTCGGCTGATGCACAGCTCCAGGGCTAACGCACAGCAGGCTCCAGTTCTGCAGCAGAGTGAATGGAGAGTCCCCTGCCCTGGCACTCTGCAGCAGGTAAGTGGTCTCCTGGGCAAGGAGGAGCAGGGTGCTGGGGTTAGGATCTTCTTCTGGGTCAGTGTGGGGAAGCATCAAATCCCTGATCACCCCTAAATCAAAGCAGCAGCCTAGGTCTCTTTCTCCTCTTGAATGTGGAATGGTTATGGCTCATTGCGTTTCTCTGGCCCTCGTGGAGAGGAGGGCTCCCAGGCTTTGAGAGAAGCCTCCATGCCTTTCTCTCCAGCAGCGTGTGCAAAGGCTGGCAGTGAGGTAAACAGGGAGATGGCAGTCAGAAAGGGAGGAACAACATCACCTTCAGAAATGCCTGTGGGGAAACCTAGGGGTCTATGACCTGGGAGGGGTTCCTGCCTGAGATGAAGGCTGGGTTTGAAAAAGGCTGTAAGGTCTGTAAAATTGTCTTGCTTTACGAAGCTCGATCTGCTGAACTAATCCAAGAGAAGGGTGTTGAATATCCCTTCTCCTGAAGCTGCCACATGAACACTCACTGCTCTGGGAAACACACTGGAGAGCGTCAGATCAAGCCCAGATGCAGGTTCATGGATCACCATGGCTATTGTGCTCCTGCACTCCCTCCCACACCCTGGGCCAGAATGGGGGCCAGGGAAGACGCCTGTGCTGAGCTAACAGAAGATGCCGGTTTCTGAGACATGTGGATGGCACCATGTTCCAGCTGAGTGAAAAGCGCAGACCTGCAGAAGCTAGTGGCAGGGCCACTGGGCTGGAATGTCCTCCAGCTCCTTGGAAGGGGCTTCACTTGAGCGCTTGCTGACTGCTCCATGGACAGCATGCTCCCTGCATCATCCCTGTGTGATGGGCGCTCCCATCTCTCCAACTGATCTGACCTCCTACTTTTCTTCTGTTTCCCCTAGGATGGGAGCATTTCCCTTTTCTTGGTAGGTGCCTTTGTGGGACCATGTGGGGTAGAAGTTCCCCTCTCACCCCACACACCTGGGAGCTTAAAGCAGAGCACAGAGGCACTTGTGATACATGTTGAATTTCCTTGAATGCTCCTTTTGCCTGTACCAGGCACTGAGTAGGGAGAGAGAGCTCCACTCAGGGGCTCATGGCTTTTTCCATCAAGTTTTGCAGCCAGGGACTGTTAATCCTAGCGCTACTGGAGTTGAGATGCTCCCACTATAGATCTGTTGCAAGAAAGGCCAGGCTGAGAGTCTTAATATTCCTGAAAATGCCCCGCGTCATTGAGGCCATGTCTAGTAGCCTTCTACCCCATCGGTGAGGGGCAAGAGGGAAGGAAGGAGGAGTGATGATGAAGAGGGTATGCATCATGCCAACCTGTAGGCTCTGTGCTTGTAACTGGGACCCTTATTAAACCATTGTGTCTCTTCCTACAGCTGGGGACTGTGTGTCGCTAACAGAACAGGGATGTCTGAAACCTCAGCTAGCAAGGAAGGTCTCCCAGCCGAATGCCCTGTGTGCTATGAGAAATTTCACCTGCTGCAGGCGACATGCCGAAAGCTCAGCTGTGGGCACACCTTCTGCCATGACTGCCTGGTAAAGTGTCTGCTCTCCACCAAGCTCGATGGCCAAGTCCAGAGTAGCATCATCTGCCCTGTCTGTCGCTATGTGACTTTCCTCAGCAAGAAAAAGTCTCTCTGGCCTCTCAAGGTGGGGACAAACCCGTGGACACTAGAAATGCCTCTATCACCTTCCTCCCTGTCCCATCTGACCAAACCGGAACCCACCAACACCTTGGTGGTTCCCAGCCATTTTGTGATGCCAGTGCAAAGCTTTGACCAGTGTTGCAGCTCCGGAAGCGCCCCTCTGGACTCTCGAGGGGTCCCAGGAGAGCTGGCGCAGGAAGCCCAGATCTTTGTGATCAGCAACCATGGGATGCCACTGGTAGATGAGGACTGGGGCTCAGTGGGGAGGAGTAGCAGAGCGGAAACACTGAGCTCAGTATCGTCCAGCCCTGCACTGGGAGTGAAATGCTGCCAGTCACCCATTGCCCTGGCTGTCCTGCTGATCTTGACTGTGGCAATGCTTGCGGCTGTGCTCCCTTGGCTGCTGCTGGTGAAGAGGGACTCATAATGGGAGTGGGAGACAGTTCCCACTGGAGCATCCTGGAGGAGAGGTACTGGCAGTCAGTGCTCCCAGGATAAGCAGTCCTGCTCCTGAGCCAGCTGCTCAGGAGGGAGCCTGGCTTGTTTCCAGCTTGTGTCCTGGAGGGTTCTCACTGATGTTGTGGCAGAGTTGAGCTCTGGGACCACTCTCGAAAGACTTCTGGAGAAAGCAATTCCATATGTAGCTCTCCCTTCTGGCCAAAGCCTGAATGGTCTCCCCTACCTTTCCATAGATATCGGGGACCTCACAGTGTCACTGCCATCATTTCTTCTCCTTTCGGTTAAAATACGGATGGTCAAACCCTGCCAGTGGGAACAATTTGCCTGGAGTTGCTCTGGTGTTTTAGCAGAAAGGTTGGTAGCTCCTCCTGGCACTTTGTGACATTCGGGGCACTTGTAGCCATGCACAGGATAGCTGACCCCCCTGTGCTGACCCTCTTCCCTCCATCCTGGATCCCAGGAGACTGTGACTGTGACACCCATGCACTTGGAGCGTGGGGAGAGCCTAGGGCTCTTTACATGGGAAATGGTCATGCAAACAGCTTGTGGGGTTTTTGAAGATCCTCAGTCTCCTGATTGGCTTCCAGGGTAGCCAGAGTACCTGGTACAGTCATCTTGGAACAGAAATTCATGCCTTTCCATCTCAAAGGTGTAAAAATAAATCAGAACCTCTAGCTATTGGCCAAAAGGGCAGTGAAACCTTCAGCACCCATGGCCGAGCTGACACAGGAGCAGTCGTGCCCACGGCCCAGATTTATCTCTGGAAGGAGCCCACTGAGACAATTTGGCCTCAAGATCCCAGGGCAGAAGCTCTGAGCCCCAGGTCTTCCAGCACACCAGCCCACAAGGGCATATCTGCCTGCAGAGCATGTTTTCAGGCCGTTTCTGGAGACAGCAGTTTGTTCTCCATGTGGGTGCAGCTGGCAGGGTGTTACATGACCAGGGACATGCTGGCGTGCAGGGGTGCCAGGACATAGCGGTCAACCATGGGCAGGGCCACCCTGGCAGTGTGGCACATCTCCACAAGCTGGGAGGTGTCTCCAGGGCATCACTCCAAAGGGGTGTCCTCCCATGCTGGCCCATCTCTTTGAGCACAAGAGGCCCTGCTGGGGCAGATTTTGCCAATGTGCGGGGGCAGCACAACTCAGCCCCAGGTGTCTGTGCCAGGGCTGGCAATGGGAAGGCCCCAGTGGCAACCAGGTAGATGAAAGAGAAAAATGCCAGCCTGCGCTTTGGTAAGGGATGCTCCCTGGGGAGCAAACACATCTGCTGATGTGTTTACACACGGGGACTGCCATTGCCGGCTGGAGCATGGAGAGAGTGATCCTCACCCTTTGTTTTCTCACCTTCCCCTCTGTCAGGCCATGATCCCCTTCCTACAGAGAGATGAGATAGGAACAGATACCAGCTTATTTCTTAGGCAGTCCTAGCCTTACCCTCACTCACTCATGGTCTTTGTTGCTCATTTCACTCTTCAGCTTCTCCCCAAGGGTCCTAATCATCCTTCCAGTCTCACAGGCCTCCCTGCTATGAGGATCCAGAGAAAGGCAATGGTGTGTGGGGCAGAGAGGTTAAGCCAAAGACTTGGACCATATAAGGGGATAGATGTAAGAATCCCACCGCGCTTTATAGGCTAGGCACTGCTCCTCACTAGAGTCCCACATCCCAGCAGAATGGTATTTCCTCGTCCCTTTATCCAGCTCCTGAAGGTTAAGACCCAGAAGCTTGTATTTATCTTTGCTGAAGAGGTTAGTCACCCACATGCCTCTTGGCCTTGCTCTCTTTGGCACTGGTCTTTCCCTGGGATATCTTGACCCATTGCCCCTGCAGGCCCTGGCTGGGGATGGAGGTGGAGAGCTCTGAGCTGCACAGTCTAGATATGGGACCCTTTGTGCCACATTTCAGGGAGCTGGGGAGTGGAGGCAGCCAGTCACTCCAATGCCAGAGCAACCCAGAAGTGCCGCAGACCTGCAGGGTATGTTCTGGTCTCCTATCATACTTCTACAAAGGCTGTACACCTCTGACACAGTGTGTGCATGCCCACTGCCACTTCTGGCCTCCTGACCCAGATTCCAGCCAACAGGCGTTGATCCCTGCCCAGTCATTCAGGAATGCACCCAGAGGGACTCATCCTGGGCTTCTTGACCTCATCTGGGAGCAGGAACAGCATGGCCCCAGCCATAACCACCTAATTGTGAAGCCCAAGGGAATAGCTGGCAGGGAGAAGGAGGACTGGCATCTGGTTCCCAGGTTCCCAAAGGGAAATTTCCATTGTCAGGTTGAGTTTCGATTAGGACAAACATGTCTAGCAGTTCCGCCAAGAGAGAAGAGTCAGTTTTGGGATCAGTCAAAACATTTCATGGGAACAAATAAAAAACACTTGTGACATGTCAACTGCCTTAGGTCCTCCTGTTCTGTAGCTGTTAAATGCTCTGTCTCGACCCAGTTGATGAGGCTGGGTGAGTTCTCCTGATGCCAGCTGCTCTTTTGGAGAGTTTCTGAGGGCAGTTTTTCGGCTAGAAAATATCACGGCTTCCCCATGGCCCAGGGACTGCTTGTCTGGGCAAAAGGAGGGAATCATACATCCATGCTGTTTGGCAAAGTTTTCTGGGCTCTGGCTGCAGGGATGGAGCAGGTTGGGATCAGAAAAAGGCCTTCATGCCTGTAGGTGATGGTGAGTGGTGGTGGATTGGCTTAGCGCTGCAGTGTTTCAAAGGGATAGTCCGCATGGCAATCCAGACGCAAGGGCACCAGGCTTGAGCTAGGCTGGCAGCAACCGCCTCAGGGGCCCGTCCATGACCCCCTTGTGTCGGTGCCTGAAAATTTTATGGCTCAGCCCTTATTCCTGCAGAACCTCAGTGGGATGGTCACTAGCACAATGCATCTGCAAACGGGTCCTGTCCCTCTGAGATGCCCAGCATCGATGCTACTATAGGAGTAAAGTGTACCCAGAAGCAGATGGTGGTTCTGAGTGACACTTATCTTGCTTGGAGAAGGTAAAGGAGTCTGCTTGGCTCTAGGGGTTTGGGGAATGCTGCTTGGAAAGCAGTGAACAGTCTGTCCCACAGTCTCCCCACAGTCAGGGAGGGGAGCTGATGGTATCGGAGCCCTTTCCTCTGGGGTTATAACCAGTGCACAGCACCCTGGCTGGGCTGCCGACTATCCAGTTTCTCTCCTTGATGCTGCCAGAGACCTTCTACACTCACATTGCCACTCTGTGCCTCAGTTTCCCCACCTGCACGGTGGGCGTAAAGGCAGTAATCTCCCTCCTAAACACTGGGAAAGTGTCTGTGAAAAAGTGCTTGAGAAACCAGACTGGGATGGAAGCCTTATTTCATAAGAAATAATAACGCATCTATGCTTCATTATTTAATAATAACCCTTATTTTTATTCCGGGAGCAGGAGAATTGCTGGAAGGTGTCAGCGAACCACCACCCTTTGCAGAGAGCTGCTGGGAGGTGGGAGCGGGATACCCCTCACCATCTGCAGCCACGGCAGCCCCCTGGCGGTTGGGCTGGAGGAACCCACTCTGAGGGAGCAGGGGGCAATCATTCAATTTCCTCTCCTGTTCCTGCTGCTCTGGCCTCTTGACTTCTTTCTTCCTTTTTTCTTCTCCTCCCCACTATGTGTTGGGATCAAGGTAAGCATGTGATCGTGAGGCATTTGGGTTGCATTCGGTGAGGTTTTTCCCAGCCCATTATTTAGGAGTGGAGGAAGTCCTTCCAGCTACTGTTGCTCAGCTGCTGGAGATATTTGGGCAAGGGAAGAGGGAAGGGAAAGCTGTTAAGGCATAGCACGTCTGAGGTGGCGTGGGATGGGATATCTCACACTGTGCAGGGGTCACAGGCACCATCAGGACCAGTGAAGAGTGGGGAGTGGGTCAAGGCTCAGAGTGTTGTCGGCAGAGGTTTCTAGGGTAGGTGACTGCCATGCTAATACTAATAGCTAGAGAAGAGTCCCCACATGACACCTCCTGGCTGTTTGTCCTGCACCTCATGGCCGCTTTCTATCCTGCATTTGTCACCTGCAGAGATGCACCTGACAAAACCCTCTGCCTCTGGGTTCAAGGGAGAGCAGTCTCAGAAGCAAGGTGTGGATGGCATGAGCAGGCCTTTGTAGGATTTTGCAATGGCTCTCATGCTATTTGGCATCTTCCTGAAATCACCAGCTCCTAGAGGCAGAGGACTTTAGTCAACCTCCATTTAAAACCTAATGCAAGCCTTCAGCCTCTTGGGCTTCAGGAAAGGGTTTGGATCCCTAAAATACTCCCTATGCAGAAAGTAAATAAGTGGTGAGCTTTACAGCTCTGCAGCCATCAAGGATAAAGTGATGCTGAGACCTGGAGGCCTGGGGTAAGTATCCAGAGGAATCCTCCTCTCTGTAGGCAAGGAGGGCATTTGCCACAGGGTGGCACTGCTTGGCCAGGGAAGGCTGTCAGGGCTGAGGTAGCAGCAGGACCAGCCTTGGGAAGGTATCACACTGGGACTAGAGCCCCTACCTTTGGTGGGTTAGGGCCACTTAGCAAGAGAATAAAGCCTGCAATGAGTATTCACTAGTGCTGCTGGAGGGTGGCATGCAGCTCTGCAGGCAGTGTGCCTGCAGGGATGGGCCAGGGCTGACATGTTTGCACCAGCACCTATTGCAACAGCCCTGCACACACATCTGCTATTCAGGGCCAGTTGATTGTCCACTATACCCCCATCCTTTCCGGAGCCACCTCATCTCTGGGCAGCGTGGCCTGTGTTTGGTGCTCACAGAGGTCAGGGTGTCATTGCTGGTCCATTGTTTTGGGTGTGGCTCTGCAAGCACCTGGGATAGATGTTCGGAGATGGCTCTGTTCCCTTGTTCAAACGGGACACAAGAGCTGCCGTTGGCCTGTTTTCTGGTTATTAATGGTGATGGCCAGAGCCAGGCCTTCCTGAGTTCTCTCCTTCTGCTAGTCCCTGGGGAAGAGGTTCGGGTCTCTA